AGTGAGAGATGAGAACACTTTTGACAACTAAAATCTAGTTTCAATATTATGTCTTGTGTTTCTGTTGTACAAATCTTAGCATAATAGATCAAGTTTCCTGATCGAAAGAAAAATGTTGCCTGTTGAAGAACTTTAAGGAAATTCACGATAACTCTTTTACCATACATCTAATAAAGCTGGTATACGTCTCATTTCAAAGAGTGTAAAATTCGAATCAGGAAAACACCTCTGGAAAGTTTTCAAAAAGTGGTGCAGTGTGGAAAAGAAGGTCCACATTTTCGATTTAACTCAGAATTATGACCAGTACTAGAACTGATTAAAACGCAACAAAAGTTTTCTATTCTGGAGAATAATCTCGATAAAGTCAAAACCCTGAAATTTACCATAATAAAAGGGAATCCATGTACTATCATGAGAGAGTTTGACTTTTTATGCGTCAGATGGATCGAACTGAAAGTTTGGGAAATGAATACCCAGAAGAAAAAAGACGGGCAATAAACTGCTCATTAACTATCAGTTTACAATCTGCCTGAAAACTGACAGTTGTCAACCTGTTAACTGTCTAAAAACCACCTAAAAACTGACTGATTTATTGGCACCTTTTAGATCTGCGAAAATACCGTCTAACAACTGACGGTAAACGGAAAAGTCAAAAACAGCTAGTTAACTGTGTGCTTAACGGGCGATTTACAGACAGTTAACTGACTGTTTTTTGCTCTTACCGTTTACTGGCCGTTTTTACACAGCAGTTTCTTAAGATCTAAAAATGGCCTGTAAATCAGACAGTTTTTAGATGGCTTTTAGACAATTAATAGGTTGTAAACTGACAGTTTATAGATCATTTCTTTTCTCTAGTAGTGAGTGGCCATGGGCTTCGCTGATTTTTGCAGTAGTCAGGTTTTCCAGATACCTATTATCCAGCTTTCTTATAAAAAGGCTGGATAATGCCTTTATGAACAGACACTGGAACTTCAGTTGACAACACTAGGCCCGAATCATCCATCTGTGGCTACGACGCACAATAATATAGGAGGGGTTTACAATGCCATGGGTGACTATTCAAAGGCTTTGACTTGTTTCAAAAGGGCTTTTGAAGTTGCTCAGAAATCTCTGCCGTCTTCTGATCCTGATGTCGACAAGTATATAAGAACTGTATGTGAGATGAATGACAAACTTATTACGCACTTTTAGGATAATGTACGACTTCTGTTCGTTTACTCGTCGTGATACCTCTTGTGTATCTAAGGAATAAATCAGGACTATACTTACTCTAACCTCGCCCAATAGACCAAACTAAGCCTACTTATATGGACACTATCTTTTTTTCGAAAAAATTACTGCATTTCAATAGCAGTATGTTCGGTGAGAATATTGACAATACTACTTAGTTAACCAACTGTGAAAGTAATTATCTCTGCAACCATTATATGTGTAAAGATGAAACTTTGAGAAAATGTGTAAGTAATAGCCACTATGCAGGACATTAAAAACTGCCAAGTTAACTGACAGTTAACTCTCAGTTAATTGACAGTTAACGGGGACTTTACTGGCCGCTTTTGGACCGTGCGGACAGTTTTTAGGTGGTTTTCTGATGGTTCGGATGGTATGGTTTTACCACCGTAAATAGGCGGTTTTTCCACTGCCTAATTCCTTCGTTTTATTCTCGTTAGCTAAATCATCATCGGTAGACAATGTGGACACTTTCAACCATCGAACATTACGGCACATGTTTAAGCAGTAACTTTTCACAGTATCACTCAGCAAGAAAAACAACATTATTTTGAGGCTATGTGCTTAGATGACATAACACCATAGTAAACCATCCTTTAGGCAAATACATAAAAGATAAGAAGCAGTAAATATTATAAAGAGACTTGCAGCAATTTCAGCGGAGTAATTATCGGTCCTTTTTTCTTCTTATTGTGAGTATTCTAAACCGTTTCAACAATCAATGATAAACTTTTAAAATCATATCTCTTTTCAATGACATTCTTCGGTGTGTTTTAAGACACATCGAAGTTCTTTAAAACATAGAATTCTATGTTCTAAAGAACTGCTAATCACTTAGTATACGTTTTATTAGATGCGTGTATGTGGAAACAGCAATTCATCAGTTAGGAGATATATACACAGGTTCATTTCTCAATTCTACCTACAAATAAAAAAAATGGCGGCTGTTTAAAAATAGAACGTGAAATAGTCCACATTCAGAACCCAGAGAACTATCTCCCGTTCTCAGAACATCTCTACGTTACGTGGTTCTCTAGATCATACGACTCACTTAAAAAAGAAAAAAAAGAATCCCTGAACAAATCAAAAATGTCTATCGACATAATAAAAAGTAAACTAGTGTACGAGACAGAGAAATAGAAAAGAAAGCACATAAAAAACAAAAAAAGAAGAGTATAGAATTCATGATAAAAAAATCTGCCTTCTTCCAGTTCTTCTAAAATACTCTTTCTCTTGACTTTAGTCTAGGGTGGTGTTACAAAATGGTTGTCTGTTTGTGTGTTTGTGCGCAAGATACGGAAAAATGGCTAACTGGCATGGATATTCTGCGGATCGGCCGATCATAAGGGAGAAAAATGGAAAAACTTTTTTAACTACTAGAGTGAAAATATTCATAACACAAAAGGCATCTACAGATAATGAAACTTACAGGATATAGATAATATATCATAGAACCAGAGCTTTGTATGGAATGGAAATTTTTTGGATTCATCGATCCGGACTGGACAGGACTTAAACTTTCAAGAACTTATTCGCGTTTGGAAAAAACCTCGATTAGAAATTGTGCTTCTCTTTTTCTTTTCCGGACATCCTGCAAAGATGATCCCGTAAACATCATGTTCTTTTTAAATTGGTGGTAAGATGCAACTCATTCAAAGATGTAGTGAAAAAATAGATTTGGTTGATTTATACACCATTCAAGGTTAGCTCAGCGCACTGAGCTATCTCTAGAACTGGACAATTTTTTGTTACCAAGCCTTGATGCGCATCGATGCGGGTTTTTAGCATTCTTTTTGGCATTGGCGTTGTATTTTACAGCACCTGAAAGGGCTTTTTCTAAGAATAAAACCCCAATTTGGTATTTTCATACATATTATATGTTTGAAAATATTAATTAGAATTATTTCTTTTTCGCTTGTATTTTACTACATTTAGTAAGATGCAGCTCATTCAAAGATGTAGTGAAAAAATAGATTTGGTTGATTTATACACCATTCGATAGAGAATGGTGTATAAATCACAAATATCACCATCTCGACTCTCAAAACCCTTTCCTCACCGAGAAAATTTCAAAATACGGAGCGATGGTCAAAAACCGGAAAAATATCCGTTTTTCGAAAAATGCCCATAACTCCGCCGAGAAAGATCGTAGAGATTTGCGGTTTCGATATTCGGGTTCAGCATCAAAAACTGAAACTAGTCATATAGTCTTCAGATCTCCAAGACGAGGAATGGGTTCTTGTGGAAAGCCGAAACTACAGCGACGAAAATGTGACAACTGTTTTTGCAAATGCTTCAACTCCGCCTGGAGAAGTCGTAGAGCCAAAAGTTTTACACCGTTCGATTCGCCGTTTAAAGCCCTACAAAGTTATACGTCCAATTTTTCGAGATTTATTTTTGTTCAAAAGATATTCGACCTACATCGCATAGGACAGCACTTTCGCCCAAATCCTTGAGATGCTCGGGTTCCAGGCGAGTCAGTTCTCATGAGAGAGAGCTGAAACTATGGTTTTACCGTCTGTGCTCGGCTCATAACTCCGCGAGATATGATCGCAGATGCCTCTGGTGGACCTCATTCTACTCACAATTTGATTCTCTATTGTGTGTGATCACCTTCAGGGTCTTAGGATTGTAAGAGGGTCTCTGGCCTCCAGCCACCCACTTTGGAAACCTTATAGATTTCTGAAAGTGAGTCCATCAGATTCAGCATCACTATGTACCGGTAAAACCATAGTTTCAGCTCTCTCTCATGAGAACTGACTCGTATGGAGGAATGCTCCTCTAATGTTTTCGGCACTCGAACGCTTCCTTTGGATGTCTCTGCAGACTGCCCTAACCGACCAAGACATTCGGACCAGCTCAGCTTGTAGAGAATTACAAGGGCTATCGAACAGTATATTGTACGGATGAGTATAACTTTTCGTTTTGCCGGAAATTATTCCCGAAAACAGTGCTCTACTGGTGTTTTTGGCACTCCATCGTATTTAGACAAATAGTTACGGTCCAAAAGCAGCCGGTAAAGTCCCCGTTAACTGTCAATTAACTGAGCGTTAACTGTCAGTTAACTTGGCAGTTTTTAATGTCCTGCATAGTGGCTATTACTTACCCACTTTCTCAAAGTTTCATTTTTACACATAAAATGGTTGCCGAGATAAATACTTTCACACTTGGTTAACTAACTAGTATTGCCAATATTCTCACCGAACATACTGCTGTTGAAATGCAGTAATTTTTTCGAAAAAAAGACAGTGTCCATATAAGTAGGCTTAGTGTGGTATTGGGCGAGGTTAGAGTAAGTATAGTCCTGATTTATTCCTTAGATACACAAGAAGTATCACGACGAGTAGACGAACGGAAGTCGTACATTATCCTAAAAGTGCGTAATAAGTTTGTCATTCATCTCACATACAGTTCTTATATACTTGTCGACATCAGGATCAGAAGACGGCAGAGATTTCTGAGCAACTTCAAAAGCCCTTGAAACAAGTCAAAGCCTTTGAATAGTCACCCATGGCATTGTAAACCCCTCCTATATTATTGTATGTCGTAGCCACAGATGGATGATTCGCGCCTATTGTTGTCAACTGAAGTTCCAGTGTCTGTTCAACATAAGTCAAAGCCTTTGAATAGTCACACATGGCAATGTAAACCAGTCCTATATTATTGTATGTCGTAGCCACAGATGCATGATTCGGGCACAGTGTTTTCAACTGAAGTTCCAGTGTCTGTTGAAAACGAGTCAAACCCTTTGAATAGTCACACATGGAATTCTAAACCAGTCCTACATTATTGTATGTCGTAGCCACAGATGGATGATTCGGGCCTAGTGTTTTCAACCGAAGTTCCAGTGTCTGTTCATAATAAGTCAACGCCTTTGAATAGTCACCCATGTCATTGTAAACCTCTCCTATATTATTATATGTCGTAGCCACAGATGGATGATTCGGGCACAGTGTTTTCAACTCAAGTTCCAGTGTCAGTTCATAATAAGTCAAAGCCTTTGAATTATCACCCATGGCATTGTAAACCCCTCCTATATTATTATATGTCGTAGCCACAGATGGATGATTCGGGCACAGTGTTTTCAACTCAAGTTCCAGTGTCTGTTCATAATAAGTCAAAGCCTTTGAATTATCACCCATGGCATTGTAAACCTCTCCTATATTATTGTATGTCGTAGCCACAGATGGATGATTCGGGCACAGTGTTTTCAACTCAAGTTCCAGTGTCTGTTGAAAACGAGTCAAACCCTTTGAATAGTCACACATGGAATTCTAAACCAGTCCTATATTATTGTATGTCGTAGCCACAGATGGATGATTCGGGCCTAGTGTCTTCAACTGAAGTTCCAGTGTCTGTTTATAATAAGTCAACGCCTTTGAATAGTCCCCCATGTGATTGTAAACCAGTCCTATATTATTGTATGTCGTAGCCACAGATGAATGATTCGGGCACAGTGTTTTCGACTGAAGTTCCAGTGTCTGTTCATAATAAGTCAAAGCCTTTGAATAGTCACCCATGGCATTGTAAACCCCTCCTTAATTATTGTATGTCGTAGCCACAGATGGATGATTCGGGCCTAGTGTTGTCAACTGAAGTTCCAGTGTCTGTTCATAATAACTCAAAGCCTTTGAATAGTCACCCATGTGATTGTAAACCAGTCCTATATTATTATATGTCGTAGCCACAGATGGATGATTCGGACCTAGTGTTTTCAACTGAAGTTCCAGTGTCTGTTCATAATAAGTCAAAGCCTTTGAATAGTCACCCATGTCGTTGTAAACCCCTCCTATATTATTATATGTCCTAGCTACAGATGGATGATTCGGGCCCAGTGTTTTCAACTCAAGTTCCAGTGTCTGTTCATAATAAGTCAAAGCCTTTGAATAGTCACCCATGGCATTGTAAACCCCTCCTTAATTATTGTATGTCGTAGCCACAGATGGGTGATTCGGGCCCAGTATTTTGAAGTCAAGTTCCAGTGTCTGTTCATAATAGGTCAAAGCCTTTGAATAGTCACCCATGGCATTGTAAACGGCTCCTATATTATTATGAATCGTTGCGGTATAGGGATCTTCTGGAGAAGTCTCATTTAGTAGCACCAGATAGTATTGCTCTGCTTCGATATATTTACCCATTTTCTGCAGTAGAAGCCCTAAACTGATCAACTTGCTTTCACTCCGAACCTCTTGTCTTATCTGATTAGTCAGTATCTTTAACTCTTTATCTTCTTGACCAGTCAGAGCAAGTTTGAGGTTCGAAATGTTTGTGAAATCTTGCTTTTGCACGGATTCGAGTCGAAATACGGTACCGATCGAGAAAAGGATCTCACTTTCTGTTTTCATGGCGCTTAAGTCTTCAATGACTGCGAATGGACTAATACATTTCTCAACCTGAATATCCATTTCGAACAAAACCGATATGACACGAACGCGCCTTGTTTCATCTTGTCAAACTCTTCAATTGCTATGCCCTGTCCACGATAAAGCGTTAGTGTTGATTCTCTATGATTTGACTTTGAATGCAGTGCGGTAAGTTGGTCATGAAGATCCTTGATGAAAAAGCGAAATTTAAACAAAATATCAATGTCCTGTACTCGCAATGCTTTGTTCAGCATTCGATACAAGAAACATTCTCTTGTGTACCACCAAATTGCT